ATGTTATAGTATGTTATTTGGCAATTGGCTTGTGCAGGCAGGGCAAGGAGACTTGTGTTCATTGACCCACTACTGGACAGTACAGTCATTGTTCTTCCAATTTGGTGCTGCTGAGAATCTAGCCCACAGTGCTTGTTTTTCAGTGCAGAGACACTTTTTTGTGTACCCTCTCTGTTGCTGCCTCATGATCCCTTATGGTGTGGGCTTTAGAAAACCTCTTTGTGAGAACAGATGTGGGCACATGTTACATTTGGATGGACTCTTCCAATTTTTGACATTTTTCAGGATGCTCAACAACTGAGATTACCAATAGAAAGTGAATAGAAGTGCTGGAATGGACTCACATAGTATAGTACTCTGTTATTGATGTTTGTGTTGTATTTCTCTAGAAGGACACTAGGATACTACTCTCTTGTGAGGAACACTAACAGCTAAAAGATTTCTCAGCTGCTTACAGAAATATATCTGCGCTTTCTGGGACTTGAGCCACTGTTTTTTAAGTGACCTGCCAGTATTTATTGAAACCTAAAAAAAGTCTAGAGCATTTCAATTCTTCCAAACCTCTAATTTGTCAGCTGAAACTTATGTTGGACGAGAGCATTATGTATTCCCCAAAAATTAAACCCTTTTTCTTTAGCATACTGTAGATGTATTTAATTTATTTCATTACATGGAATGATTAACTTCTCCAAATGTTTATCTCCATATTTGCAAAAGGTATGCAATATACAGTTGTACACTTGTACAAAAAGAGAAACTGGAATTCTGTTACAAACCTGACAGCACTGTGCAATACTTCCAGGCAGTTTATGCCTTTGCTCCTGAACAGCATCGTAAAGCAAGGTTAGGCATTGTAGTTTTGAAAAAGCATAGTGTACTCAAATTACTTCAGTATAATTTAAGAGTTTCTTTTATATCACAGCAACCACTGTATTATTGCCTTTGTGGCATAGTACTAAGTATAGTCTGTAAATTGCTGAAATATTTTTTTAAAGTGCTTTTGTATTTTGGCTGATTTCTAGTGAAACATCTAGTGATGTGAGATCCAACACATATTTTGGAGGGAAAAATAAGTTTTCCCTTGTGTGTCAACAGAACAAGGATCATTGCAAATGTTTTCTAAAAGACAAACATTTGACTGTCAATTACTGATATTTTAGCTAGTGCAGATCTCAAAAATGACTCCTAGCATGATGCCACAAACAGTAGTCTTTGATGACCACTGTAAGTCATCTGTTAGGATTTGTAAATTGGATACACATGGAATTCACATTTGTTTCATCCATGCCAGAGTAATAGTGTAAAACTTATTGCTAGTAGTGCTGGTTTCAAAACAGCTAGCCAGATTTGAAAATGACCGTAGGTCATGAACCAAATGTATTGCTGCAGTTGTGATTCTGTAGTCTGTATCTGTGTAATTGGCTGACATTGTGGCTTTAGAACAGAGCAGAAATACATTTTTTTCTCCCACTTGTATGTTTCTATTTCTTCTGTCGTATAATTAGACTAAAAGGCTGTCACGAGGAGCACCTGCCCCTTGTTTCACTTTCTCCATCTCCAGCTCATTTTCACTTCTAAGATGTGAACACTGCCCATGCACACCATACTTCAGGTTTCAGAAATATGTTGGGCGATGTTTTTCAAGCCACAGGTTTGAAAAACCTGTCCCGTAAACCACAGAAAACACCTCATGAGCTCAGAATCGGTTTTGCGCTTACAGAACTTCCTGGGTTTTGTTTGTTTACCACACATAGAAAACCCAGCTCTAAAATAATAATAATAACAACATCACTTTATTAACCCTTTACAATTTCTTGCATTAGGAATTGTCTTTCGCATACCCCAGCTTGCTCTCCATGATACACACAGACACACAGACAGGGCGAGAAGCTTGGGGTCAGAGCACAAGGTCTGCCATTGTACAGCACCCCTGGAGCAGTTGGGGTTAAGGGCCTTGCTCAGGGGCCCAACGGAGTAGGATTCCTCTGCCAGCTGTGGGATTTGAACTGGCAACCTTCCAGCCACAGGCACAGATCCTTAGCCACAGAGCCACCGCTCCGCCCCATATGCAACGCTTCCAGATTTATATTGCTGTTATCCTCGTCTTCGCCCTGTAAGGCTCTTTTCAAAATATACACTGGGCTGTTCACCTCAGGCCTGTGAATTTGGATATTTAAACCAAATCCCCATTGAAAAGGCATGCAGAGGTATGCAGCCTTAAAACAGAGAGGTTAACTAAGTAGTAAGTCAGCAGTCTCTTGTGCCTTTGTGCCTTTCCTCTGTCCAGTTTATTGTACAAACCACTCTTAAACAAGGGCTTAAGTCATATAGGCCATAGTGGAGCTCAGGTGCTTGAAGCAGTGTGCCCTGCAGTTGAATAGCAGGTCAGGATAGTAGTACATGTTCAAGGATGAGTGCCATGTCCCGTAAGCCACAGAAAAGCAAAAGACTGGTTTAGCTCACACAAGACTCCTTTAGTTGTGCAGCTACTTTTTTTTTTTGGTTACTGGTGAGCACTCCCAAGCAACCCCAATGCAGAAATCACTCCTCATCACACACAACCAGTCTCTGAGGTGTGCTTGGCCATTTGACCAGCAGGAAATCAACAACCTGTAAATGATCAGAATCATAATGTACAGTGAAATTGTATTTAATTTTTAAGTTTGAGGACCTGTTCTGAATCCAACTCTCCCAGATGGCTTAAGTAACGATGCCGATATACAGTGTTCCAAACGAAGAATGTTAAAGTCCAAGAGATGCCCATCGCAGCGATGTCGGTAATGGGTATGAGTGAAGTAGTGTGAGGACAGTGAACTGAAATGTTTTTTCCTGGTTTTTTTTTTCCTCATCAGCTTGAAGCGCTGGCTTCAGACACCACTGTAGTATTGCCGCTCACGCAGGGGAGCTGGGAGGGCGGGGTGCCAGGGAGCTTCCCCTGATCACCTTCTTTGGCCTTATCCTGTTCGCGCAATGACCCTACCCTGGGGAATATGCCCATGGCACTTACCACTATAGACAGGCCTCAGTACAGCAGGCTGGACTAAGGGATAGGCCTTACAGCTCTTTCACTCACTCTCTCCAATGGAAGTAGCAAAGAGCGGGTCATTTTGCATGTCAACCCCTTTTTCAGCCAATAGCAAACGTCAAACGGAGGCTCTGAGGCAGTGACCTCCCCATCACAATTTCTCCTTCTGCTTTCTGCTTCTGGAGACATTTTCCATCTTGAAAACGCCTGCGCTGGGCATTTTATTACTTGCACTGCTCTGTGCAATGACAGCACTTTGAGGGAGAAGCTGTAATTGTTTCTGTGCACACTTATCTAAAAACGTGCTGCACGACTGTGATGTTTATTGTAGGAGTTCGGTATAGAGTTGGCCCAGTCTTCCTGCAATTATTTTGCGATCTGGTTCTTTAATAGAAGTGACCTCAGCCTTGTTAGATGGCCTTCTCAGATGCAGTCTGGAAAGCCTCTAGGCGTTACAGATGAACTCTGCAGTTGTCTTTTTTCAGCCAGCCAGCCTTCCTTGAATCCTGTAGGCGAGGTACTGCTGAGACTGTCATGAAGCTCTCTGTAAGGGCAGCCAGTAAATAAGCCCTGTTGATAATACTGTTTATACAGTATACAGTGTGTAGGTCTTGGAAGTTATAAGTAAACCGTAGTCTCTGATCATTTAGAAAATGTCCGTGTGGGCAGGTGAATTATAAGAGAATAGTGGAGTAGGAGCAACATTAATGTGTGAATTCTAACACTAAAATATAGGGGGAGGGGGTTACTTATCTCCAGGTATTAAAAAAGGATTGTGATGCAGGAACTTTAACAATAGCGTGCGGGAAGCTGAAGTCTCAGGAAACCGAGCTTGAACTCGAGGTTGTGTTTTTTTTCGTCCTTAGCAGTGAACTAAAAATACTAGTTTGTCTAGGAAGGAATGTGCTGTGTAGGAGGCCAGCAAGATATTTGTATTTGACATTTCAGTGGCAACCCCATTTTGTAGATTTGATTTACATAGTGAGGTGACATTCATAGAAATATGTATTTCTGAGCAACAGAGCAAATACACTTAAAAGAAACATTTGCTACACTCCAGTTTAAAAAAACTAAACCAAACAGTATTGATCAATAAAGATCCTTCTGATGTTTTTAAAGAGTATTTTCTATTACCATTTTTGATAAATTTGTTAAGTAGTACAGAAAATATAGTAATATAGTAAAAATGGTCATTTTTCTTCTTATGGCTGGTTGAGAATCATCTGGTGTAACCATGACAGGATAAAGATAATGCATTTATTTTCTTATAATCAGTGTATTTCATTCACTACATTTCTTACAAGCTCTGGAAAACATACAGTATATATAATTACTTTTACATACAGTGTATATATAATGACTTTTATACTGCAGATTTCACTGCCCTTGAAATCTGGTCTTTGATCTTTGCCACTGAAGACTGTGGAATAGCTGAATAATAATACTGGTGACTCTGAACTGCTTTAAGACAGCTGAGATGAAGGTGGCTCAGGTCAGAGTTTTATCTACAGGGGAATCAAAGTATTTAGTCTAGCAGGAACACTAGAGGTAAAGTGTTCAAGAATGACGTTAGTCGGAAGAAATGTCAGATCTCTGAGGAACATTAAGTCATTGTAAAATCAGAAAATATAAATACATTTTATATAAATCTATCCAATCCATCATCAGGAAACTGGTAAGGGTCATGTCCTGCCTTGCACTCTTGTCGTTCCCTGGCCCACCAGAGGGTCAATTCAGAGAAAGGAGTTAAGCTAACCAGTGAGTTTTTGAAAGCTGGGAGCTCCTGCAGAAATAAACAGAAGAAGATCATACAAGATCTACACCTGATTCGGAAGGCTCTTCTGCCTGGAATCTAATCCAGTACCCAGGAGCCTGAGGCAGCCACGCCACTGCTCCTCCTGCTACAGAAATGCTGTGGTGAATTTGACATTCACCCTAGATATTGATGGAGGTGTTCTGCTTCTTTTTCTTTCAGCTCCTAACACCACTGCCTCCAATGGGTCTTGTCAGAATGTCACAGATACCCCTGGAACAGGCTGTAAGGTCCTGAATGAATCGTGTGCAGGTAAGCATGATATGAAATGTAATGTATGTATAGTATGTCAGTGTGCACTATTTGTAATATAATGTTAATAATACTTCAGAAGAACTGCTTCTCGCAAGTTGACTTGCAGAGATCTGTGTATTACCTGTTCTGTGTACATAATATCACATTTTTGAAAGGAATTACTTTTTTTCTAATCAGAATTGCTTTTTCTATGACCATAAACCAGAAGCTGCCTTCTACGATACACTAGTATCTAATGTGGTGATCACACACAATTTTCCTGTGATTATTCCTTTCTGATTACATGCACACAATGATTACAAATCTTACATTTTAGATAATGCCGGACAGCACAAAGCAGGTGGCTTAAGAGCTCACTTGACTGGTTTGACATTGGGGATCTTGTTCTAGTATTTACTAACCATTACTCCATAACACTTTTTTTAATCTGCACTTCACATTATTGCCTGCTATTGTACTCTATCATTAGTGATTCAAGATTGTTTCACTACTGTATGAAGCAGGTTCTCTTATTTCTATTTTGGCTCCAGAAATTTGACTGACTACAGCATGTGCATAGTGCAAGCAGCCTTTTAAAACTGCAAGTAATCGTGCTCATTTATACTGAGCAGATTTGTACACTAGCAGTTAATCAGAGCACTAACCGCTTTAGTAAATGCCAAGTGCAAACCCACTCTGTGAACAACACAGACTGCTTTTTATTCCTATTGAGCTCTCAATTACTTAGATGAATGAGTTTCTCAATTAGTTTAAATGAATAAGGTCCCCTGTTATCTGGAGAATAGAGACTGTCCAAGCCCAGGGTGACATGTTCTTAGAACATGTAGACTCACGTTTGTACTACCTAAGAGGGATTTCTCAGGGTAGAAGGAGCATGAGGGTGTCAGCGTGAGCAGAATGAGCTGATAAAGCTTCCAGTTAATACTGTGCTTTTATTCCAGTTCCCTCCCCGCTTTGTCTTCCTAAAGCAGGGGAGCACAGCTCCAGTGCTGGAGGGAGGCTGTGTCTGCAGGATTGCTTTCCACCCAGGCTAATAGCTACTGGTTCAGTGTAGTTATTAGCTTCAATGAACCAAGTCCATTCCCAGATACAAAGTATCCTCTAAGACCTGCTGAGTTGAACCCCTCTAAGAATGGAGTTCCATGCCCTACGACATGGGCTATAAAGATAGTGAAAGTGGACTTGGCTTTTCACTTTTTAAATCAGAACTATTAAGCTCTGTTTTTGGGTTGTGACAAACGGGACGCCCGCCTGCTTGTTAAGACTGCTTGTCCAGCGCTCAGAGCAGACAAGGAAATGAGCAGCCACATTGTTGTGGCAATATCAGTAGAGGGAAAGACTTCATCTCACAAGGCACTGAGGAAAACAAATTCTCAGTCTCAATGGAAGTGTTGCAGAGTTTTGCTACTGTTTTAACCTTGCGAGCTGGATATTTTGTGCATATTTCAGTTGGACCTTTTCGACTGGTGTTGTAAGGTGACGTTACTTTTCTCATTCTGCAGTCACTCCCAATGCCACTGTTACTCCAACTTCCATTCCGACGACGACTTCGACGACGGTCAGGACCACCCCGACACCAGTGACTTCAGGTAAGGGGCTGGAGTTTCCCCCCCACCAGAGTTTGCGAAATATAACCTTGAATTTTGCCCGAGGTCCACGCCATTAATTTAATTTTCCATGTTTAAAACTTACACCACAGAGTCTTGGGAGAATAAAAACGTTTATATTCTTTTGTATTTTTCATAGTTCCTATAAATTCATCGACCACGGAAAGTCCCACTACATCATGTCATGTCACCGCTACCACAGCTCCAGCAAGTAAGTACAGCCCCTGAGCCCGTCGCTGTCAGATCCGTCTCTTGTCGGGTCCGACTGTCTGGGCTGACTTTTTCAGTGCCTTTGAGTATTTTGCAGAATTGAATCGGGACCCATAGTCTTCTCTGTTTTGGTCCAAAAAGCTTCACTTCCTTCATTATAGGGCAGTCTTTTAAGCCCAGAAATGTATCAGGTTTTCTCTCAACTGTATCTAGATCCCTGGTGCCAGTACCATTTCTGTTACATGCTGAACAAAACTGAGCACAGTATTGTAAAAGGGATGTACAATATTACCATAACATCTACCAGAATTTTAACAAAACATATGTACAGTTTTTTACAATATTACCATAACATCTCTTTACTTAAACTCTACACTTTTAGCTATAAAATCTATTTTTTCCCTTAATGCTTATCTGTGGTATGAAAATAATGCATCATCAAAGACATCCGAGTATTTCCTATCGGTATGATTTTGAAGCTTCTGTTTTTGATCTTTATCATTTGTTTCTGCTACCCAATAATAACATTAACATTTCAACATTGTCAACATCAAATGTCATCTGCCATGTCATCCAGTCCTTCCTTTTAAGTTACTTTGATTTTTTTTTCATCTTGTATAGCATTATCTAGTCCTCCCCTTTTGGCGTCATATTCAGTCTTGACTAGTTTACTACTGTATCTGCACCACAACCTAGATCATTGATAAAAGTCAGGAAGAGTAGTGATCCCAGTACAGATCCTTGTGGTACTTCACCGATGACAGTCCATCATTCTGAGTTCATTCCTTTTCTGTGCTTGGTGTTCTATCCATTAAGCACTTCTCAATCCAGCTCTCAACATTTTCCCAAATGCCTAATGCATTTTAATGTGAAAATTCCTTACATTTTGTTCCATTAATGCTATTGCTTGTTCATAAAACTCTGGCAAGTTGGTTAAGCAGGACCTACCTTTTTTAAATTCATATGACCTATCCCCTAGATACTGTATGGAGGATGCTTTAGCATAGTTAAGTGTATGCTCCTACTATATGGTATTCTAATTATATTATTATTAGGTTTAAGTCTAATTATAGTTTACATAAACATATAAGCAATAGAAGATGCATTTATCTTTAATTAGTTTGGTTTTGTCACCCTTTTTATGGATGGGCACTTCATTAACAGTTTTCTAGTTTTTTGTTTTACTAAAACAATATTGGACCAGCTGATTACAGGTAATTGCATATTAACAGTGTGGCTAGAGATCAGTAAAGGAAATTACTACACCCTTTCTTGTTTATATGCCAGATTAGTTTTAACTTGCCCTAGTTTTAATTAGCCCTGGAGAAGTATGATAAGTACATGCAGAGAAAAGAGTCCTTGTTCTTTAAATGTGGACATGCGGTTATTAGTACAGCCAGATAGATAATTTTATCATTTCACTAAGGCTTTTGAGTGTCAAAACCTGTGTCCAAATGAACAGTATTTGTATCCCTTTTAAACTGCCTAGCCTAGTTGAAACAGAATGCTTTCATGAGTATAACATTTGAAAAATCACTAAAAGTGAATCAGAGTTACTCAGAATAGACCATAATATTGAAAAGGTATTTGTTTCTCTTTGTGTTAGAAGCTTTTCCAGGCGGTTAGTCTAATTTCTTCCAGGGGTAATCAACCTAGGTCTAAAGGGACTGCACACTTGCATGGTCTGTATGTATCATTCAGCATGTGCCTGAGTCAAACCTATGGCAAAAAAAATTCAGCGAATAATAAGATTAGTTAAGTAATTCAAATTAAGCTGTGAATGAAACCCCAAGGTTATCACTGCCTCGGTGGGGCACAGAGTGCTTACTTGCATTATAAGACGTTCATGTGCCCCTCTGGGCAGATTCCTGTCCTCTAATCGAACGGAAAAGAAGGGGATGCCCTCCCATTCCCACTCCCTCCTCCTGCTCTTCCCTGCAGACTCCACCAAGACGACGGCCTTGCCCACCCCAGCGCCCCGCAAGAGGGCCACCTTCGACGCGGCCAGCTTCATCGGCGGCATCGTGCTGGTGCTGGGGCTGCAGGCGGTCATCTTCTTCCTCTACAAGTTCTGCAAGTCCAAGGACCGCAACTACCACACCCTCTAAGAGCTCATGGCGGCAGCAGGGCTCTCGTCCCCAGGGCTGACCAGGCGATTTCAAACAGCGTTTCCAGGCGGTTCGGGGTTGTTTTTGTCCTCTTTAACTTGGCGTGCGCGGTGTGCGGATCCTGTGTGACCACAGGACCACATCCTGTGTGACGCGGTAGGTCAGGACGTGGATGCCCTTACCGCCCCGACAGCTGGAGCCCGCTGCCTTCAGGGTCGAGCATTTCCACACCTGTACCACCGAGGGTAATGCAGAAGCAGCACTTATCCATTGCCTTCTCTTATGTTGCTCACGGAAATGTTGTTTGAAACCGTCCGATTTGTCGATTTCGTTTTGTTCAGCTCCCCCTTTTGAAACTTCTCTGAATACAGAAGATGCAGCATTGCTTTTCAGATCTTGCAGCTCCTAAATAAATACATTAATATGCAGTTTGCAGGGAGGAGGTTCCACCTGCAGACTGAAAAATTATACCTGCCAGGTGAGAAGCAATACTTTATCTTCACTGCCACTATAAGGGAGAGAGAGCCTGTACCCATTAAAATCAAGTCATAAAAAACTACAATCTACAACTACTATCTCTTTATGCCAACACAAGAAGGCTAGTTGAAGGATGGAGAGATATTTGCTGGCTTAGAAGAAGCTAACATTCCAAATGAAATAATTGAAGCTGATTCGTGCAGGGCAGATTAGCTCTGGACATTTGCACACATCCCATTTACCCGACAGAGAGAGGTGAATTTTGCAAGTTGAGCAGAGCAGTCTTGTGGGGAGAAACGTTGATGGTTTGTCCCTGCGGTGTTTTCCTCTATGTGTAGACCAGCCCTGCCGGCCCGATTCCTCTGCTCCACAGCTCCGCGGTGAAGTTCCGAAGGCTTCCCAGAATGAAAGAGCTGAAGCCTCAAATAGCTTAACAGCTGCTTGTTGTTAATTAACTTCTGTGATGAGTGTATTTATGGGCTTTCTGCGAAAACACACCAAGCGCCTGAATTTCAGCCCACTTGATCAGTATGTCGGATGGGATTAAGAAGACATCTAAGCGCAGACAATAAATAGAGAAAAGTGCCTTACGAAAGTGTTAGTCAGGCTAGTGAGAAATAAAGGTCTCTGACTGCCGCAAAAGCTGGGAATAGATTATTATTACCATTATTACACAGTGAAGCTGCCAGCTGGACTGATTTTTTTTTATATATACGTTACAATTGGATTTTTTTATTAGTGCCCTTGGATTTGGAAAACCAGAGGGATTTTCCCCTTGAACTGCCCACTTACAGTTTGGCTTTTTGAATGAACCAGGAACAGGACTGAGTTCACTTTATTTTCTTCGGTTTGAGAAATTAACTGGACATGAAAGTGCAGTTTGTGCAGTCGTTCTGTCAGGTTCAAACATATCCCAGCATGGAGAGCGTTCAACATTTTCTACTGTCTAACATTTTGGCAAATACAGAACATGTTTTCCTTTTCTCCAAATATCGAAGGTGTTTATTTTGAATTTGAGTTCTAAAATGAATGTAGGGGATCCCTTCCTCAAACTTTGGCTTCTAATCTTTTAAAATAAAAAGCCTGTTGCAGAAAATCGCTTTTAGTTTGTAGAGCTGCTCACGGAAATGAATGTTAACTACACAATACAATCCTGATAAATGTAGAATGGTTAGAGGCAGATGTTTGATAGTTAAATGTCTTTCTGTTGACTAGCTAGCTGCTATTGTGGTTTATTTGTTTTCCTAGTCTTTCAGACAATCTTTGAGTTTTAATTGTTCATGTTAAATTGTTAATTTGATGAAGGATCTTTTGAATGGGATGTTAATAGTTTGCTTCTATGCACTCCTTATAGTATTGAGAAAATTTGCTCAGGTTTTTTGCAAAAGAGCATTTTTGAAATTGAACAATGTGAGCTTTTGGGTGTGGGTGTTTCTTGGGCTCCTACATACACAGCTAGTGAACCACTTTGTTAAAAATGTAAGTGGCCAAGCATGAGTTGTGATGCATTGCACTGACTGAGCTTTGCATTTTTTTAATTAATTTTGATGCCAAAATTTGTAACCTGAAGCCAAAAAAAGATGGACAAATAATGCCATGCTGATTTAGTTGCCACCTCATGAAAATTGATGTTGAAAAATATTAAAGATCCTTATGAAAATAAAGAATGCATGGTCTCTTTATGCCAATACTTATAAATATGTATTGTTAAATATGATTAAATGCCCTTTGCTTACTAAAAACTTTCAAAACGTATATTTTGTTATTTGAGAGCTCCATTAGGCTACATCCAAAGATCTTGAATTTTAAGGCAAGTAATATGCCACAGCACATAGTGTGATAAATGAAAGTGTTCTCTTAGGTGTCCTTATCTCCATCAGTAGTACTCAGTGGGTCTGTTGTCACTCTGAAAATAGTTTTTATTGTGGTCGGCTTTCAGAGATGTATCTACAGTATATCACAATACCAAGTGCATTTTTATTACCTGTTACCATTGCTATTGTTAGTGGTTTCCATTAACCACTGCTTCACAAGCTACAGAAAGCGATTTAAAATTGATCAGATCTAGACATGCTACTGTCATGTTACTTGATATGTTATTGTCACATATTGGAGAGTCATTTCTAAATGGTAATGACAAATTTTAAGAACCACATCATTTACTGTAAGGATGCTGACTGAGATAAGCTCTGTGGTTTGGAGGGTTACACAGATTTCTTCAGCAGCTCTGAGAAAATGAAGAGACCATTTCTGCAGAACTCAAGTGCTATGTGGTGCCAAGATGATTTGCCCACATAAACTTAGGACAGAATGTCTCATTGCGTGAAACAAAGCCCTTATTATAGCCAAGTGCCTTAATTGGTTGTGCAGCCTTTAATTTAACCTGGCAAAAATAAAGGCAGAAAAACATAAAAGGGATTTCATCATTGACAATATTTCTCAAGTTGTATATTTGCACGGGATCTGTTTTTTCGGTGTTCCCAAGAGCTCGCTAGGGATGAAAGCTGGGCGAGACATTCACAGAAGTCCCAGAGTTTTGAAACACGCTTTCTAGCATTGTTCCACCTCACTGTTGTGTGTGTGTGTAATTTTCCCGCCTTTACTGTTGCTTATTCATAAAAGGGAAGGGAGTTAGTGGGTTTATTGTATCCTAAACCCCAGCCTTGTGCCGATTTAAACACTTTTTGTTGCATATGTAGTCACAAAGCCTGCTTTAATAAAGTCTGATGCTTTTTTAAGTGTACCTTTTCATGTCTTGTTTTTCCATTTCTCTCGCATTAGAAATGTCGAAAACGGGAATAAAATTTTAAGATTGTCCAAACTGCTGTTTTTTTTTTTCCATTATTTAACATACAGTATGCCACCCACATATTCCTCTTTGTCATCAGTACCCACAGTTTACCTTTGTGGCTTGTACCTGGTTCTGTCTCAGAACTATACTGTAAATATTAAGATTAGTAACAAAACAAACAGTCCTGGAGCCACTACAGAGGATAACTGAAATCATACATACACCATTATGAAACCAAGCTTTCACCATTATGATTAAGTAAGGTGTAATTTTGAAATCTAGGCAATGAAAATCACAAGTCATCTTTTCTTCAGTTAGTAGTTTTTTTCAGTTGACACCCGAAGAATTCTCCTTGTTTCTTCTCTTTTCAGCACGGAATAAACATTTACTTGTTCCGTTTTTCAGATATTTGTGAAATCACCATGTATAATGCAGTTTCCAAAGGAAGTTTGTTGAAAGGAGAAAACTAAAACGTTTGTCTAGATTGGGTGCCGTGCTGGAAAAATAAACACACTCCAGTTTGTGCCATCTTGAAAGTATGAGGAAAGGGACCTCGTCAACTAACTGTAATGACAAATGATTAACCCCATCACACGACAATATTTAAACAAATTGAATAAAGGTTGAGTGCAATCTTATTCCACAAAGTCTGTTTTTTTATTCAATTCCAAAAAATTACTTTGCAATTTTTTTAAGTCCTTTTTCATAAAAAAAGGCATCATTGGACTTCGTCAGAGCATGCTGACATTTTGTAGGTTGTCACAAGATGTTTTTGTGAGTAAATTGAATATTTTCCTTTTTTCTGAAGCATATTAATACCTTGATGTCTGAGATTTATATATGTAAATCTATGATTTTTACTGCACTCTATGTACTGCATATGGTGCTTATTTGTGGAGGGGCAGCAGGAAGTAAGAACAACAATTATAGTGTGTAAACTGTGCATATAATTAGCACATAAGTATATATATATTGTGCATATAACAAAATATTTTAAGTACTGTACATATAATTAGAAAAGGCATTTTTTTTACGTCTTGGAAAATGTAATAAATGACTACAGAAACAAAACCCATTCTAATTTATTTTTAGCACAGTTATCCATCTACAATACACTATCTGTTCTAGCCTATGGAAGACGTCCATTTGTTTTTCCATTCCTCTATTTTGGGGAAAACAAATTGAGGTTACAGTCTCAGACTATTTAACAGTGATTCTGTTGGAGAAATCTGTGAATTAAGAAATGCATTATGCATTTAAACTGCAAAAATAAACAGCCTCAACCCAGAGCAGTAGTGGCGATTAGAGCAATGGCTGGCTTACGAGACGTTCTGGAAGATAAAGTGACAGGCGCCACTTCTTGCAATAGAACATTAATGCTGGCTGGGGGGGCATGAGGTCCTGCTCAGTGTCACACAACTTCTTTTCTTCTCGTCTTATTTCTGGTCTCGTCTCAGCTCCCGCATCTTTATAAGGAGACTGTGAGGACCTCCTTCTCCAAGATCAGGTAACAGGGACCCTGTAACCTGGCTCCTGATCCGACTGGGACCCTGAAAGTGAGGAACACCGCAGCGCTGTATCAGTATAGTGTACCAGTAGTTTCCACCCCACCCTCAGATGGCTTTTTCTCATAGAGATTATAATCTGAAGCTCCAACACCATTTATTTCATTATAAAAAGTTCTAGCACAGCTGTTTGCAATACAGCATTTGACTCACAGTTTTTGGTCTCTGGAGCCGAGTGTCTGTGCCATTTCTGCAGACATCATCTCCTGTCCTGTTCTCGGGTGAGCGCCAGTCCTTACTGGGGTCTTGCAGGAGGGCAGAGGCTGAGTGAGATGCCAGCAGATTCCACTTTGCAGAGCCTGACAGTCAAATACATCCTTTACACAGCCGTTCATTTTACCTTCACAAAAGTACATCACATTCATTCCCCTAGATGCGCGTTCCTTGAATTTCCAAAACACTAGAAAAATTTGCCACTTTGTACTGAAGTGTTTGCCTTTACAAACGTCTGGTGAAAAGTTTCCTTCCTAAATTTTTGTCAAATTTTTGTACTGGTTTTTAAACTTTAGTGTACTGTAGTTACAGCTATTTGGCTCTAGTAAGCACAGTAATTGTCACACTACTACTCACATGCATTGAGAATTCAGACCATATTGTTTCTGGTGGTTTTAGTGTGGGCAGTTTGTAAGTTTCTATAAGTGGGCAATCTCTAGGTGCTTTACAAGCTGGTTTTGGAACTAAACAACTAAAATCAAGATGTCTGTTGAATGGGTTACCACAAAAGTTTAGTAACCACTAAAACAAGTGTTGTTTTTTTTTCACCCTCTTTTAACCTAAAAATAGAAAACGCTAATAAAGTATTTTACTCAAAAACACCATGAGGCATTGCTTTTTGTGCTCCAGTTTGTGTTATCTGAGGTTTTGTCCACAAATAACACATCCTTGTCAAATACCTGGAGATCAGAGCTCATGAGCTGGTGGCTGAACTTGTTGACATTTGCTGTCTTTAAGACGTGGAGCAATTGGTTAGCCTTTTAGAGACATGGTGTGCATTCCAAAAGCTGGGAGAAGACTCCAAAGCAGGCTGGTGTACAATTAGCACTGGATCACAATAAGACACAACTGCACACAGAATTAAGAGACTGAAATATAAACTGCATTCGAATTACTAGATACAGAATAGGATGCTCACTGCACAAAGTTAAACAGATGAGCCCTATGGCAATACAGAACAGGGAAATAATGATTAATTTATAAGACATAGGAATGATTTGACATCTGCATGGAGCTCTGGTAGATCTTTCAAAACTAGAGGGTGGACTCCTTGCTAAAATTGGAACACAAATCAGTTGTCAAAGTCCACATGGCCAGTGGCAAACAATATTGGATTTTATGGCTTACTAGAGTGGAGCAGAAGAGTAAGTGAAAGCAGATTTCCTTTTGCATTATTTCAGAAACCTAAATAATAGTGTGCCTTTGCAGATAACAGCTGTTTGATATTGATCTGGTATTATCAATTGGGCAATTTAATCTGTATCTGTAATTTCATTTGTGGTGGGAGCTGTGTTTTGGGTGACAGATTTAAATTGAATAGTTCTGCTATTTTAGGGATTTAGAAGACAACTGATTGGCATTTTACTGGCATGGAGAGGTGCTGATTGTCATATATTGAAGAAGGTATCACACAGCTTTGCTGTATATCCCACACCTACAGCAAGAAGAGCTGGCACTTCATGATCATCTTAACCAAACCTGACTGGAGCTAAGTATCTGAGCCTTGCTAGGAAGAGCTTGTTTTTCTGTGTTTGTAGGGAACTTGGGTTTTCTGGATAAAAGGTAACCTTGGTTAGAGACATCTTTCTTGCTTAGGGTGCATTTTTATGGATAGGGATATAGGCTCCCATTTATTTTGTGGCATCTAAGGTGCAAAGAGAGAGAGATTGCAGGTTGTATTGCATTTTTTTTTTTAAAGGCAGTTTATCTTTTATTGGAAGTGGCCTCTGTAGGCATTATGAGTTTAAAAGGAACAATCAATAGGTTTATTCCTTGCTGAAAAAAAAGAAGAAAACACAATGTTTCGGCCATGGAGCCTTCTTCAGGTGTTCACACCTTCACACTTGAAGCTGAAGTTCACGCCTGAAGAAGGCTCCACGGCCAAAATGTTGTGTTTTCTTTCTTCTTTTTTTCAGCATGGAATAAACCTATTACTTGTTCCTTTGCAGCGTATGCATGCTGACACAGCTACCCACCTGAACTATTATGAGTTTAATGCTTAATAGCAGTCTGGGGTTTTCTGCTTGACCAGAATGTTAGGCCTCTAAAATGCCTTGTCTGTAAATACTGTATACATTGAGTAACTTGTATGTTGTTGTTGTCTGAAGCGTAGTGTCTTGTCCTTGTTAATAAATATTTGTGTAACCAAGTGTGCCTGGATTATTACTCTTTTCACCAAAGCTGTGCCAGAGAACAAAGAATTCACAGGCCTCTAATTATACCAACTGCTCAGGTATATTCTGGAGACATCACTTACAAGTGGGGGGTTATGAATATTTATTTTATTTATTGACAAACTGCTCGGTCATTTCCTGATTTCCACCAGTTTCATAACCCCCCATTTGTAACGATACATTTCAAAATAATTGGACAAGAATTCGTAGTGGCTTTACTGGCTGTACTCTCTTCCAGATTCTTCTGTATGCTAGTAAATGGCATAATTATATAACTATAGATACAAGAACATGATTCATTTGAATGGGTTGTAGTATAATAGTATAATAATACTGTCTTTATTCTCATTGTGCTTCACAGTGTACCTAAAGAGAAGTAATATCTTAAAGCACATGTCCAAGGGCTGTATTCCTGTAGCTGACTGAAGACTGAGACTGGGAAATGTGCTTATGTACCCGTTATAGACTAAGTTATCCAACTAGTGTTTTGTGACCTTAAGGCTTTTTCATAACTCAGGTTTTCTTTATTTCTCAAGAGGTTCTGCCAAGTGTGATCAATAGAGAAGCTCATTTTCATACTCCTAAATCTCCTCCAGATGGACATTGTCTCTCTGTTTTACACTAGTCTACTCTCAGACACAGTGGCTTAATCCTACAATTTAGCTTAAAGCTCTGGTATCTCTTATATTTTAAAGAGAACACAGGTCTATGGAAAGCTATATAATAAAGTCCTCACCCCAGCTCTTTTCAATGTCATTTTCTGTCTTTACTTGAAAATCCAGTTCATATGTAACACACAGCAGGTCATTAAGACAGACCTCAGCTAAATACTTAAGGCATGTATGTCATTAAAACTATCTTTGGATTCTTATGCCACAATAAAAAGCCATTTCTAATTTTCTTGGTTGTTAAATAATTTTACTTGCTTCTTTCTGATGAGAATGATTGCAAGACAAAAGTGTACTTCATGTGTAGTGATGTGTTGATTTCCAGCTTTAATTATAAGGACAGTGCCAAGATTTCCCATTAATCAAGTATTGCAGTTGTTAGTGTCTTATACACTAAGCTCTCTGTGTCCTGTCTGGCACAAGTATATTAGAAGAATTTGTGAACTATGCTGACAAAGGTGAGGCTATTTCACAACACAGGTTTTCTCTATTTCACAAGAGATTCTTCCAAACTTCATCATAGAGAAACTCATTTTTATACTCCTAAATCTGCTCCAAAACACATTTGAGGTTTACCGGCTTGACAGAACATCCAAACTAGAAATGAAAACCCATGTATTTACTGTATATTTTGGGAGCTGTGTCAGGAAGGCAAATTAGTCATATGTCCTTTAAGAAGATCAAGGGCTGGGAGATGTCATCTACACACTGACCGGATACAAATGCCCTTTGTCTCCAAGATAGTAGAACAGTAACTGAACAGCACAACAGAGGTAATTTGCTAACTTACACTTGCACTCTCCCTGTTTCACACAGTTTTGCCAATACCATAACAAGCCTTTGAACTTGGGAATTTCAGTAGACTTCTTTATCCTCCATCATTGGAGAACAATACAAATGCAGCATAGAGCATTACATATACAGTATACTGTATATAAAACATACCTGCTAATGTGCTTCTTATGGTGCCAGCGCTCCTGGACAAAACAGAGGCCGACCTCTTGTTCTGGCCTTTGAAAAGAAAAGGCAGACTTTACTGACTGATATGTAATAAATAATTTAATTAAAAAAAATGTAGCATGTTTGAGTTTGGCTTTCCCATATAGACTTTACTGGACTAAACACAGAATCAATTCTCCTGAATAAGGTTGCAAGAGACACGTTAGCTAGTGCTGATTATAAGATTGTCTCTGTAATAGTGGTTATTACACTGAAGTTCATTTAAATCCTAATGGGGAAAGAAGTAATCTTTTGAATGGTGTCCCACATATGGAAAGTGATGTGTTAATACTTGCTTAGTGTGTTCTAATTTACAATTGACGATATAAAAGTTAATTATGTTGATCTTAGCTGTTGGATCCTCGAGAGCAAACCCTTGCACAAGTGAAGTTATGCAGCCCTGAATCGGTCAGGCCTGTGTCTTGGCTCAGAAGGTGCACACTGTTCTCCCTCTGGTGAGCAGGGAGACATGTGAGATGGCCCAGAGCCTGTCACACCTGTCGAGGAGCTGCTTCGGGACAGGGCGCCCTGAATGTCATACACTTGGCTCTGCAGCTCATCCACACGCTGGAAAGCTTCAAGTTTCAGGCTTCGCTCCAAGGAAAGCTGGCTTCTGACCTGCCAGCGGGAGAGAGCACGGGAAGCTTTGTTTTTCAGGTCGATGGCTTTAATGTCGACACAAACATTTCTGTATGGATACGTTTAAAAAGAGACTAATGTGATGTGTTAAGAGGTTGACACTTACCGTGTAAACTTAAATTGCAATATTTAATGTCAACTGCTCCTACAGACAGCTCAGTCAGATTGCTAGTGTTAGTGAAAGACAACACATTGAAGAATACTATAACCACTGTATTTGGACACACACAGTTTGAATATCTCTTCCTCGAGACAATCTCCTTCACAAATTTATTTTAACTGATTCTAGAAGGAAAGATCTGTGCACACAAGAAAGCAGTTGAAACATTGACATTCACAGAATTTTTTAAAATCATATTGTTATCTGTGGCTGTAATAACATTAATTTGCAAATATTGCCCATTTGTAGAATGCCCCACTTTAGTATTTGGGGTTATGGTTTAGATAAATGCAAAGCATTACATCCAAAAGTAGGAGTGCTTAAAGGGAAGACATCTCTGATTTTTTCATTCTTAATTAAGCTCACAAAGGCAGTAGGTGGCAGTAGGAATATTCTCGGACACAAGAGGAGCAAGCGTGGCTGTCCACCTGTCGGATCTCCTTGTCTGTCCTCTGCTGGTGGAGCTGGCTCATCTTGGTGCTGCACTCCAGCTGCTCCCCCAGCGCCTGCAGCTGCTGCTCCTTCTCCCCCACGTCCTCCTGCAGCCGCTCCAGGTTGGCTGCCTTCATGCTGTCCAGGTGCAGCCTGCTGCGCGCCTCCTGGGCGGCGCAGTGCTCCGACTCCCTCAGCAGCTGCCTCTGAGGGAGAACTCACAGTCACCAGCAGTGCCACGGGGGAGGGATTGAGCCCCTAGTCACACATACTGGAGACCCCGAAATCTCTCGACCGGGGCAAGGGCAGATGCAAGAACAGCCTCTCTCAATCTAATGAATATGTACGCCATCTTAAATGAGCTGCAGCTGCAAGGTGCATCAGATACTCCGACTTAGTAAGGGCTGTACTTCATGCTGATAGTCATGGTTAAAGACTTACAGACTTTGGACTTTTCCGAATAAGAATGCCGTTTAAATGGGGTGATGTTATCAGCTGATTGAAGAAAAATGAAGATGGGATTTACTTTTTATGGCATGAAAAAATTGACAAAAATTTCAACAGATTCCTACAGATTTGCTGCCACATTCATTTAATCCAAGGCGTAGGAAGAAAAATGTGCCGATACAATTATTTGAAAGGGATATAAAAAGGCCTTGTGATCCCAAGTAAGGTTCTATGACTTAAAGGGTCTGAATTTCTTCTTAACCAAATATTATGCTGCAGTGTCAGTCAGACCTCTGAGACAGAATTTCTAGATCTGCAGGTGATCTGTATCTCTTCTGATCTGAATGGTGTCTGTGCAGCTGTGACCCTGCTGTGCTGGGCGGCGAGTCACCTGCTTGTCCAGCCGTTTGCTGACAGTCGTGTACTCGGCCTGGCACGTGGACAGCGCTCTCCTCGCGGCCTCGAGCTGCTGCCTCAGCAGGGTGGCCTCCTCCTCCACCAGCAGCCGCAGCCGCAGGCTCTCCTTCTTCTGCTGCGCCGCCTCCTGTGGGGGGTCACAGAGCACAAGCCGCGGGGAAGACAGTGGCGCCAACAGCTGTGCTGTTACACAGGTGAGAGTGTGTGTGTGTGTGAACCAGCCTCCGTACAGAAGAATACATTCACTACTGCAGCCGTGGCTGGGGAGCGTCTTACTGTAAACTTCAAACGGAGAAAGTGTTTCTGTGGCACACTGCTCACTTTCTGATCGGCCCTTCAGTTCATTTGAGTTGCTACACACAGTACTGCAGAGAATGCTAAACTGTTTCTAAAAATAAGTCAACAAGTGCTAGAGGCAACTTACAGCTGTTTCACCACTTACTTATCTGTGGGCTGTTCATGGGACACAACAGGAGGTAATGGGTTAGAAATAAGGAAATAATGCTTTCAATTATTTCGCACACAACAGGATACTAATATTACGTACATTAACATAAACTGAAAGTTTCCAAAATACGCAGATTCAAATGTAAGATGAATGAATCTAGCCACCAGTGAAGCATCAAGAAAACCCAATGGACAGGTACCGCTGGGCTTGTTGTTTTTGAAATGTGTGCGCTGGGCCTCACTGGCTGGTGTTTCCGGGCGTTGGACCTGCCTCTTCTCAGGCACACAGCCCTACCTGCCTGTGGCAGAGCAGCTGGCGGCGGAGCTGGCCCTGGCTCACAGTGTGTCTCCAGAGCCCCAGGGCCTTCATCTTGCACAGTAGGGCGTCCAGCTGGCTGCTCTCCCTCCGCAGCTCCTGCAGCTTTTCTTGCTGAAACGCAGAATGCAACAGTTACAGTACATCCCAACATCTTTCAGTCTTTCTGCATCTTTTTTTTGTATAAAATAAATACTATTATGTTTTTGCAGAAAACCCCACAACATTCTGCTACGTCTCCAGAAACCACCCTACCATCAATAATGTTCCCTGAAGGGCCTCGTCGTCTTTGGTGGAGCCAAACTTCTTCTTCAGCTTGATCATGTTGTCCACCCCTTCCCTGCGCACCTGGCTGACTAGTTCAGTTACATCCTGGTCCATTCTCATGTGATATTCATCCAGCTTGGCCTGGATCCAGCAGTTAAAGAAATCAATGGGAAATACATATTATTTTAACTGGCTTTACATCAATAATCTATTACATAATATCTGTAGCCCCGGTGAAGTGATTAAAGTGCCGGTATACATCTCCAGACATTGCACTAATGGGTCTGAAGTACTTGAAATAATTATAATTATCAATAATCCAGTTGAGACAATATAATACAGTATATCCATGCACAATGAACTCCAGTGCACGTTCATAAGCAATGGACCTGTCTCACACTATATCACTTTCCTGCTAATGACAAGATCTTTTATATATAAAGAGAATAAGTGTAAATTGTGACTTCACAGAAAAATATTTTTATTTGTACTTAGTATGGCACAACAAATGCAGTAATAGTTCAGATTTTGATAAATTAATGTAATATAACCAAGGATATGCACACGTTCTGTCAGTGAGATCGTGGTGTACTAAGCCAATATTATGCAGACCTTTAAGCTGAGGCAGGCAGTGAAGAGGTTTCGGACCAGCGCCTCATACTCCAGCTGGACCTGCGAGCGGGCTTGGTGCTGCAGACTCTGCCTCTCCTCCTCCATGTGTGCCACCTGGGCTCGCAGCGCGGTGATCTCCACCACCATCTCCTGACACAGATCGGCCACCTGTCGCACAGGAGCGCCGACTCACACACCCACAGCGCAGACACCTTCCCCACTACAGTATCAACTCCACGGCCAGAAGGCAGAAGCCCAGAAGACTCAGGAAGAACAAGACCCAGTTCAGGAAAACGATTATAACGAAGGAAAGAGCCACGCAAATGATAGAAAACTAGAAAAAGATTCCAGTTCTGCGTCAGATAGATTTTTTTTCATTATTACAAGAGCGAAATAACTATAAAGGATGAAGTTACATCCCTCAGAGATAAAACCTAGAACATTTTAGGTGATGAAAGGGAACTGATGATGTGTGAAGCAAATGCACTGCAGGTGCGTTTATCCAGGAAGAAACGAACAACATGCCTCAATCTACGGCTAAAAAAAGTAATATATTAAACAGAATTAGCATAAAAGGACCAATTCAGTGTTACAGCCCCTTGAATAACAAGATAAATACATCTCCAGGACCTGATAGTTGTCCAGATGTGTCATTCACAGAACATAAACTGAACTCTTCCAACAGTCGCTGAAAATGAACAGCATCCATTGACTGGACAACTGCTTATTGATATTCCTAATGAGCCTTCCTAAAAAATAGTGACAATACCAAACCATGTAATTATAGACCAATAATTCATTTATTACTAATATTATTCATTGTTCATTTCTGGAAAAAAATAATTTGAACCAGAACTAGTAGCAGATGTTGTTCTTTGTGGCAACTGGATTCTAAGTGATAGTCAATGGGTACAGTGCTCTGCAAGAAGATCCACTCCCTTCTGATGATGTTGCATTTTGTTAAAATGCTGCCATTTAACTTATTTCACCGATAAAGTGTTCACTTTTCTTTTTTATTTAAAAAATATGACAAAT